TTAATTTTGTGAAATCTCGGTGCAGTGAATGAAATCTCAAAAGTTGGATTATTCTGATTTTTGAACTGTAATATTTCTTGACCTACGACTGCATACGTAAATTTGAGGTGACATCAAAACTCCCAAAAACGGTCCATAGATCTGAGGTTTTGGCGCTTTAGCTACTCTGCATTAGTCGAAAGTTAGCTCATTTTACCATCCAATCACAGCAAAAATGTGCAGCTTCGTTGTAGATCTCTTTTTGTATATTGTTGATCGGAACCAGTTGTTTTCTTGCCTTCTTGAATGTAGAGGGGCATTGTCCTGAAAGTTCCGGAAAAGCGCGTTCAGACTTGATCGCCCATGTCACGATCTTCCGCTCCCAGCTATTGCATGGTTTATTTTACAATCATACATCGCGCAGACCGATCGTGTTATAGTTCAGTATTGGGGACTGCTTTCACCGATTGTCTTCGATTGTGATAGTTTGACGTTGTTGCACAGCGATGTGCAGTAACATTTGAATTTCGAGTATTGCACACTTCAGCTGATAATCGCTGTAACTCGATGAACTTGTAAATTCGGAGTGCAGCGCTTCGGCTGTTGTTGTGCTGTATGCGTCCAGGCATTTTCTGGTCCATGATGAGCTCGTCCATGCGAGCACGAGTTGGGCAGTGCTGCTGGTTTCGAATGTGGACATCATCCAGTCGGATGACCACTCCTTTTTCCCATCTACTTTTTTCAGCCTGTTAAATACTGTTTTTACTGTATTGTTTCCAAAAATCAGTAGTGTTTTCTCGCACTCCCAATCCCCATGCACCCGTTTTGCGTTCAAATGCCGGAAACTTCAAAATAGCCACGGTTTCACCGTCACTTTTCTTCTCGATGCAACAGGCAACTTCTCCATTCTTCTCATCTTTGAGCCCTTCCTCGTTCAAGCCGATCCTTACACCGCTTTGGTGGTCTTCCCGTGTTCTTTTACATTATTTAATTATTACTTTGATTTGCTACCATTTCGTCACTGCGCGCTTCATGTCACAAACACAGCTGGCAACCTTTTCATAGTTATTTTGACCAGAACTTCTCATTTGCCGTATGAGTAGTTTTTGCTCTCCACTCAGGCGGTTTTTTTATTTTTGCAGGTGCGAGGCGCGATACTACTGATATGGCTACATATTGGATGATCCCTTTGGCGGAATTGCCCAGCGTGCGATTCCCATCACTCACCAAGGCAAAAAATGAACTGAATGCAGCAACTTACTCACAATTCACGCGACTTGCTTATACTCGATGTTTTGGTTCTGTGAATTCACAGTTACTGGAAACCATCATTCATGGTATGTCATTCTCTTTCCTTTTCTCTCCCCTCTCCCCTCGTCCTCTTCCCCACGCCCCCTTCTCCCCCCGCCCCACCTCCTTTCCCCTCCTCTCGGCCCCTTCCTCCTCTTTTCTCGCTCTTTTTTGCAGCTGTCAGTTTGTATTAATAATGAACAGGCTAGTAACATGGTACCAACTAACATTTTTTTTCTTCAGAGAACCACGTGTGTACAGTTGGACGTAAGCCGAAGAATTCACTGGTTACATGGAAACTGGAGAATTCACTAAGCCTCGTTTATCATCCCTCTTCTTCGCGGTTTTGTAAGTATTTCCTTCCTTTGCTTGGTCGTTTCAAGGAGCTGTAGGTTTAGAATTGTCAGCAGGATTAACATATACAGCTAACATCAGAGTTCCTGTAATTCCCTTCTGAATGATCGTGGCGTCCCATTCATTATTTTCTTAAATTCTTACCCTGCAGCTTATTGCAAGCAGTCTTTTCGTAGTCATCGCGTCGTTGGTCCCAGGCGTGCTGTTCAGCCGTGTTTTAGGGAGCATCGCATTACAGGCTCCCCGCCCCCCGCTATCCACAATTTCTTGTTTTTTGTTTCCAAATTCTTATCCCAATTGGCGCTTACTAAAATAGACGATGTGATGGTCTCAGTGTTGCGACCTTCTCAACATACATCTAGCAAGCTGGTGTGCAACAAATCTTAGCCGAGGTACCTGTCAGGCTACTGGGACCCTAAGTGCTCTGCATTTAGCATAACAAAATTTATCCATCAAAGGACAAACGTCCATCCAAAATCGTTTCAGTGAGAGGCGGAGTCCGCTGCCAAGGCCACCAATGGCTTTTTACTAGAGAAATGCTTAAAACAAGCTAAGGCTTGTCCAGTAGACCGTCTAAAACCCGAGCCTTTGTTTTTTTTTTCTAATTAATTTTTTTTTTGCATGAAGGGAGCTCAGCTAACGCGTAAGATGTTCAAGTAGCTTTTTGCATAAAGCAGTATTATCATTGTATCTGCAGTGTCGTATCTCTGATAAATTACAGACATCCAGAGACGAGGTTTTCGTACACTGCGCTCGGAGAAAACTGAAAAGCCGAAAAAAGGATTTTTAGCATTTCTGGGCTTCAACACATTTGAGGTTGTTTTTTGTTCTTAAAGCTTGCATTTTTATGTGCGAGTGACTGGCTTTGGTTTTCATTCCAAAATTCGAGTCGCATGGGATTTTTTGTAGGGCGGTCGAATGAAGAGTCCACAAATAAAATCTTTCCGAGAAAAACTGAAAACTGTGGCTGAAAACGATAGAAAAGGCTTTCTGGTGAGTCTTTCTTGATCCATGCACACTTAAGACTAATGTTCTGCCGCATGTATACATTTGGCATGTTCACATTATTCATGCGTTTGTTCGTCTCTCGCAGCCCCGTCCTTCTGTCGGATCCTTTTTTTTTTTGTGTATAGCTTTTTAAAAATAGAGCAACGGTCGACTAAAAGCAGGGATTCCTAGCAAGGCCACTGTGTTTTTCGAGAGCTTTTTTCGGTTCTCCTTGTTACTTTATGGTTTTACAATGGTCTAATGAATGAACATATTTATAGGAAGGCTATAT